AAAAATATTTTGTTTAAATGGTTAATCATTTAAACTGATAAATACCATTTAAAAAGTGACATCCCTAATGCCCGATCTGGATAATGATTAATTCCAGGGTTTGGACAGTACACGTATAAATTGTATAGCTCAGCATGACATTGCACTAACCATCAGTTAATGTTCATTTTCACTGTGGATGGCAAAGGAATGTTTCTGGCGCCTAATCTGACTCATATCTAGGAATGAGGTCACACACACCGAAATAGTTCCATCTGGTACATAATGCAGTAACTCCTCTGCTTAGCAACACTTATCACATCACCCCAGTGCTCTGCTCTCTACTCCCACTGAATAAAATCCAATCTGGGGTCTCTGTCCTGATATTCAGAGCGGTCCATGGGATTGGTCACTGTTATCCTCTGTAGCCCCAGAGGCAATGACCTCCCAGGACACCCACTGTTTCATAGAAAAAATTAAACTGTTGACCAATAGCAGGAGGCTTCTCAGGCAGGTGAGAGAACTTTCAAAGGAGCTCGACATAGACCAGTGGTTCTCAAACTTTTGTACTGGTGACCCCTTTCAAACTGCAAGCCTCTGAGTGCGACCCCCCCCCTTATAAATTAAAAACACTTTTAAAGTTGTTTAACACTATTATAAATGCTGCAGGTGAAGCGGGGTTTAGGGTGGAGGCTGACAGCTTGCAACCCCCCACGTAATAACCTCACGACCCCCTGAGGGGTCACGGACAGCCCCCCCAGTTTGAGAACCCCTGACCTAGACAGTGGGATGCTCTTAAGAATGGCCACAGGGCACACCACTTCAGAACTAAATAAAAAAAAACTCATTTTAATCTAACAATAAATCTCCTCAAGAAGCTCTTCACATACACAGAGGCACAACACACTGTTCATGATTTATCATTATCTCTTGTTCACTTGCTATATTTTAAAAGAAAACTTATGAAGCGAATACATGCAATCTCATGATTCCAGCATGGTCATCCTCATCTTTCCACCATGTTCTTCCACTATCAGCCACCCCTTGTTCCTATTTGGATTGTAAGTTCTTTGGGACATGGAACGTATGCTGTTCGCTGAGCATTCTGAGTGCCAGTCACACAGCACTGTAGGCAAGGTAGAGATTTGACCCGCTGTCAATGGCCAGAATTTGCACTCTTTCCAATGTCCTGTGTGCACCTCCTACAGTAGGCCCTCAATCTTGTTTGGGGTGCCTCAGTGCAGGCACAGCACAGATCATTAATAATAATAATAATAATAATAATACACACAAACATCAAAAACCCTATAAACTAACCACTCTACTTCTGCTTCTGTGAAAGAAAAAGAGATTGTTATTGATGCTTCTGTCAAAATACTACAATGATGAAAGCCACATAAAAAGGTAGATAAAGATTGCAAATCTGTCTATCCATCTAGTGGTTCATTTTTTCAGCAGCTATCTTTGTTTGAAACATTAGAATCACCACCACATTTTTCCAAACAAAATTCCCCTAGATAAAGTATCTCACGAAAGGAGAATGTTTTAAGAGAACGGATGTAATTATCTATCTAGATGAAAGGCACGCTAAATACTTCTCTGAATCAGAAAGGAAGCAGCAAGTGTGCATGTGCCTGCTTGGAACAATAATCAACAGTGTTGGAGGAGAAAAAAGTCACTTCTGCACACTGGAGCTATCCTGTTTCTGGAGGAAGCAAGAAAATATTAGCAGTGGGTAATAATTAATTAGCCAGGTTATAGTGCAGGTGGATGGTGCAATGTGGATTACAAAGATACTTCCTTCAAACTGCAGTGAATGCTGCCTGAGTAAGGACTGCAGGATCAGCCTCAAAGTCACTTTTTGATTGACTTATTGCTAAAGTTCTGGGAAGGGTCCCCCCTCCCCACAATTGCTAACCTAGTACATGGGCCTCGTTGTATAGTCAGCAAGAAAATAGGGAAAGAAATAGGGTTATATCTTTGGGACAAATCATTATGTATCACATTCATGATACATAACTGATTGCTAGTAATCACTGAGCTCCAGCATGAAAAAAAAATGCATCACCCTCAGTACACAGGAGGGCTGAAGGAAACGGGGGGCTAGGGAAGGTGGGGGAAGGACAGGGGTAGAGGAGTTTGATACCAGATAGGAGCGAGGGCAGAGGTAGGCTGGGGTTGATACTAGATGGGCATTGAGGTGGGGGTTGATTGATACCAGTGATGTTGAGGTGGTATAGGTGGGTGGCTTTGCTATCAGGTTGTTGCTGAGGAGGGGATAGTTGATGGCTGGTAAAGGTGAGGGCCAGTGGGGTTGCTATCAGATGGGTGGTAAGGTGAGTGGTAGAGATGGGGGGAGGGTTGATATTACAGCCCACAGGAGACCAGATTATTACATATCACAGGGAAAGAATAGGAGGCACCAAAGTGCACCATTGTTCAAGGCCCTTGCAACAGCCAGAAAATGAGTGAGAGAGATTATAGCTAGATAATTCAGGCGAAAGACCTGCACCCACACACAGAGCCAGATTAACTCTCGTGGGCCCAGGACTATTAGATTTTGTGGGGCCCCTGGGGGTTTGGAGTGGGGGAGTAGGCTCAGGGCTGGGGTGCGGGAGGGAGTGCAGATCCAGCTGGGGGGGGGGGGTGCAGGGATGGGACAGGGGGCTGGGGTGACCTCTGGCAGCTCCTGGTTGGTGGCGCAGCAGGGCTAAGGCAGGATCCCTGCCTACCCTGCTCCTAGGGTGACCAGACAGCAAATGTGAAAAATCGGGACAGGGGTGGGGGGTAATAGGAGCCTATATAAGAAAAAGACCCAAAAATCGGGACTGTCCCTATAAAATCGGGACATCTGGTCACCCTACCTGCTCCCCGAGGTGGCCGCCATATCCTGCCCCTAGGCAGGGGGGCCAGACCACTCTGCGCGGTGCATGCTGGGGCGTGTGCCCGCGGGCGCCACCCCCCGCAGCTCCCATTGGTCATGGTACCTGACCAATGGGAGCTGTGGAAGTGCGCAGAAATTCCCTGAACGCCCCTTGCCTAGCAGCCACTGGGGCACATCAGTAAGCCGGTGCTCACTGCTCCAGTCCTCCGGAGGGGGCACTGAGGCTCGGGGACCAGTGTCCAGCCCGTGGCATGGAGACTTGCCGCGGGCCAGATGAAAAGAAGCAGCAGGCCACATCCGGCGCACAGGCCTGCAGGGCGCCTCTTAGCCCGAGGCCCAGGGCTGCAGTCCCTAAAGTCCCTGCATTAAATCCAGCCTTGCCCACATGCTGCAGAGGAAGGCCAAAAACCTCCAAGCTCACTGCCAGTCTGACTTGGGGGGGAAAATTCCTTCCCAACCCAACATATGGTGATGAATTAGACTCAGGGCACGTGAGCAAGAACCAGCCAGCCAAACAACCAAGAGACAGAATGCTCGGTGCCACCTCAGAGCACTGGCCCACCCCCTTCCATGAACCATCTCCAGCTACCACCATCTCTGATGCTTCAAAGGAAAGAGATAAAACAAAACAAAACAAAAAACAAACAAAAAAAAACGCACCACAACCCAGAATACACTTAGGGATGGGGGGGGAATCCCTTCCTTATCCTTGCAGGTGGCTGGTAGTAGCCCTGAGGCATGAGCTTTTAGGAAGATATAAACTAGAAGTGAGCCCCAGCACTGCTAAGCCCTGCCCCCTCCCATCACAAGCAATTATACAATTGCAATTCATACTTTTGTCCAGCTCGCTCTTAAAACTAATTTAAGTTGTTTGCCCTCACAACTTCTATTGGGAGGCGGATCCTGAACCTCACTCCTTTGAAGGTTAGAGGATTTACTGAGGCACATGGGGCAAAGTATTCATTTAGATGTTAGGCCATACCTACATTTATCTTTAATCTCCTTCCCCAGTTGGACTCCATAGCAGCCCAAACATCCTTCCTTATTCACTTTTTATTTATATAACTAACAAACCATTTTATTAATCAGTTTCCTTAGCAACAGTTGATTCAGCTTGACTTTTAGCAATTCTAACTTTATTCCTACATTTTCTAACCTTCCAAGATGTAGCTTTCTTTGCTGTTTCATTTAATTCCCTATAGACCCTTCCTCATTCCCAGTAGGATCTCTGGTTACTCCTACTAACCTTTTTGAGGTGGTTATTCATCCAGTTGGATCTCGTGCCTTTCCCAACAAGTTTTTTTCCTTGCTTGGGTTGCAAATTTCCATTTTTGTATAGTTGATTTGAAGACATTCCAAGCCTCCTATGTATTTATTTTCTTGAGCTCTTCATCATGGTTGATATCTTTAATTAATTCCCTTGGTTTCCCAAAGGCTGCCCTTTTCAAATAAAAAAAACAAACACAGAAAATCAAGTTTTGATTATTCTTCCATTTAATTTAAATTGAATCAACTCATGATCACTTAATCCAAGATTATTTCCTATAAACAGATCTTTTATGATGGCCTCACTATTTACCAACACCAGGTCTAACTTGCATCATTTCTCATTGATTTGGTGAGGATTTGAAGAAAACTTATCCCATCCAGCAATCACAGGGCCCTACCACTATAATGTGCTGTGAAGTTAAAGTCTCCCATTATGTCACAATTCCCCTAGTATTCATTGCTCTAATATTATTATCACATTCTCTAGCTATACCCAAGTGGGATCCTGGGGGTCTAAGGCAGACCTCCATCCCCACCGACCCTCTTTTACAATCAAAAGTGATTTTGACCCAAACTGGTTCTGTTTTGTCCACACTATCAGCTCCTTATTTCTCAGCTCTGCTGCTATGCAAAACTACCCTACCCCCATAGGAGTGGCTGGTAGAGAAGAGGGCAGATGTTGGGATCAAGTGCCAGGCAGGGAATAAAGGAAAAAGACCCAGGACTCTAAGTCCCACAGTACAAAGCCCCAACAGCCTCCGCCTCCCTCTCTCAATACTGCACTGGCCCTTTAAATGCCAACCCGTCGCTCATTGGCTAAACTCTTACTGCCGGCAGCAACCAATCAGCTGCATGTTCGGAGGCCGGCGTGCGGGGAAGCACCGCAATAGCCAATGGCAGAGGCTGTTCTTGTTCCTAGGAGACCGATGTAAACGGTGCGGCCGCGGAGCCGGTGCGGCCGGGGTTGGGGGCGATGGAGTCGGACGCGGAGAATGGGGAGGAGTCGGACAACGGCCGCCGCCGCCGCGCCAGGGGAGCCGACCTGGAAATGAGGTGGGGGGAGGCCGCTCATAGCCCGCCCTGACAGCTCCCGTAGCCGCCTGTGCCCCTTCACTCTCATGTGCCTCCCTGTGCCCCACCCCCTCACACCATTGCCCCGCCCAGCCCCCCTTCACTCTCATGTGCCTCCCTGTGCCCCACCCCCTCACACCATTGCCCCGCCCAGCCCCCCCTCACCCCCTGTACAC